ACTGCTCAACTTCAGAATTGCTTAGATGTTTTGAAATGTAATTTATTCCTGCGATGGTAAAGCTGTACCAACAAGCTTATAATATTTAATACTATAATATTTTTATATTACTTTAGTAATATATCTATCTATACTTATCTATACTTTAGTATCCATCTATATATAGATATAGATATAGATATATATTAGGGCTGGGTAAAAAATAGATATCTCGATTTTAATCTATTCTCATTTTTACAGAACGATGTCGATTCTTAAATCCCAAGAATCGATTATTCTAGCCTGTTTTCAGTTAATGGACGGAACATTGAAGGACACCTCCCATCCAATATATCGCAATAAGCAATGTGTTTTGGTACTTTTAATATGAAACAAAGTCTCAGATTTCAAATTCTGTCTATTGTATTGCAGTATTCCAACAATAAATGCCATTTTGGCGCGGTTTAATGTGAAGTAGATCGCTGTAGCGCCTCAGTTCAACAAACGCAGCAGCGCGAGGCGCACATGAAGTAATCATCTCCTCCACATTAATACCAGTTTCAGCACAAAACAATCATGAATAAACATCCGAAGGTAAGTTAAAAGAAAGAACAACTTTACAATCCGTATCCTGTCTCATGTAATCGCTCAATCAGTGTTTCTGCCGAGCAAAAACATCAATACGGGCTTGTAAACAAATGTCACGTAACGTCACATTTACCTCAGAAAAAACGTATTCGGTGATCAAACTCATTCAGCTAGAAAAATAAATTGTAGAGAGGGGCATTTTGCTAAATATATGCACCATATAACATTCATTATAACCTTTACTGTTCTTCAATGTTTAATTTATGTTTGAATAAATCCATCAAGTTTTTATGACAACCACCATTTGAATGTTTATATATAAAAAAACACGAATTTAAGTAGAAATATTATGTAATTATAACTTTATTTTAACTTCATTAAGTGTCATTTTAGCAGTTGTACTACAAATCAGTCAATTTTAACCTTCAATATTATAGTAATGTACCAACTGACTCATGTATCTCATTAGTTGAGATTGTTTTTCCTTGAAAATTTGGCATATACTGTACCTGATATGTAGCCTATCCAAAATAATCGATATTGAATCGAATAAAATCGAATCGCTGTACTACAAATCAGTCAATTTTAACCTTCAATATTATAGTAATGTACCAACTGACTCATGTATCTCATTAGTTGAGAGATTGTTTTTCCTTGAGAAAATTTGGCATATACTGTACCTGATATGTAGCCTATCCAAAATAATCGATATTGAATCGAATAAAATCGAATTGGTAATCGAATCGTAAGCTTGTGAATGCGAATCGAATTGTGAAATTTGTGTCAAAGCCCAGCCCTAATATATATATTATTTTAGTTTTATTTATTACAGCTAACTGTTGTTCAACTGTTATTAATAGTAACCTAATTTTTGGACCAGGTCTATTTCAGGAGTCACAAGGGTCACAGGTACACGGAGGTGCATCTTTCATTGAACCAAATAATAGACTCACTCACAGATCATCATTTCAAAGTTCAAGTGTAATTTCAAGTGCATTTTAATTAAGACTTGACTTTAAGTGGTGAACCTGATGTCTAGACTGGTTGTGAACATGTATGCGGGCATTATCACATTCAGGTTTTTTTTCTTTCTTTAGTTTTATCTCTCTAATACAGGGGTGGCGAATGTCGGTCCTGCAGAGCCGCATCCCTGCAGAGTTTTGCTTCAACCCTAATCAAACACACCTGAACGAGCTAATCAAGGTCTGAACGGTTACTAGGAAGCTACAGGTAGGTGAGTTTTAATTAGGGTTGAAGCTGAACTCTGCAGGGTTGCAGCTCTCCAGGATCGGAGTTTGCCACCCCTGCTCTAATATTTTCAAAACAGTGCTGCAATGGATACACATTACTATTATTTCACAGCCCTGATTTGGCTCAGCAATACAGGACAGGCTGACTTGGGGAACAGACAGCATAAAGTGGGTCAGAGAGGCAGGCAGCCTGACTGCTCTAACAGCATCAGTGATGGGAGTCCTATTTGGGACGGTGAGGTCTGCTATGTCAGCGCAGTAATGGGGTAATGGGATGAATAAAGACCAACAATCTCCGTGGCAAGGTCATTCGGCTGTAAACCTCTGTCATGAAAGGCAGGCACGCTGCAGACAGGGAATCAATGCGGCTGTTGTGGAATTCTCCTGACTAATTAGATATTTTGATAGCAGGCAATGGAAGAATTGACATTTGCCCGGGAAACAATTTATTGATTATTTGAGCAATTGGAACAAAGCGGTAACAAGATGGAACAGTTGTAAACATGGTCAAAAATGTATTATTTGTGAAACTTGCCAATGGCAGGTGAATTTACTAGTAACTAGTAGAACTTTTTTTTCTCATGAATCTGTATTTTGCATTTGCCTTTAAAAAAAATAATTATATCTACCTTATCGAAAGAAGACTATAATGCTCATCAAGGCTGCATTTAATTGATGTAAAAACAGTAATATTGTGAAATATTATTACAATTTAAAATAGCTGTTTTCCATTTTAAGATAAAAATATAACTTATTTATGCGATGGTAAAGTTACCTTTTCAGCAGCCATTACTCCAGTCTTCAGTGTCACATGATGCTAATATCATTTTAATATGCTGATTTGGTGCTTAAGACACATTTCTTATTACTATCATCAGTGATGAAACGTGCTGCTTAGTAGTTTTATGGAAACAATTTTTTTTCCTGAATTATTTCATATATATATATATATATATATATATATATATAACAATTTAAATGTTTTTACTTGCATGTTTGATCAATTTAATGCATCCTTGCCTAAGATATACATTTCTTACATAAAAAACAAACAAACAAATGTTTTGAATGATAAGGTTTCCAATTTCTAATAAAGTTACCAACCAACATATGTAAAAAAAAAAAAAAAAATCTATGCAGACATTTTGGAGAGCAGAACCCCTCTGGTTCCTTTTTTTTTTTTAGATGTGATCTCCTAAGGTCTCCTCATCAATACTCACCTATGAATTACTAATGAAAGCATTCAGTGCTAAATGCATGAATCCACCAGCCATTCCACCAAGTGAAAGAATCAGATTTCACACCCTAGTGGGTGTTGAACACCTGCTAATTATATTATCTGAGAAAACGCTCTTCACAGCTTTACCAGGTCTGACAACCTTCAAGAAAGAATCAATGCCTTTTGCCTTCATATACAGCCTTTTTGAATTCCCTTCCCAGTGTGAATATTTATGATGTGTTCCTCAGTATTTATTCATCGGATTGTGAAAAAACAAGAGACATAATTAGATTCAGTCTTCGTCTTAAGCTTTGGCTTCTGCTGGGTAGAGAGCCAACAGTGTGGGGAGCCTCACAAAAAGGCTTTCATGGCTTTCATACCGGAGACAGCTAAATAGCTGCTCTTGTGCCCCCTCCTCCACAGACTTTCTCTTTTTAAAGCGAACAAAAGGAACATGAATTTTTCCTGTGGATTATTTCAGACCTCTATGGTATTGACGGCTTGATGTCCTAATTTTAATGGGACTACATTGTGCTCTAAAAGGACATGGCACTTTGATTGAACATATTTAGGGAAGCCCCAATAAGTGAATGAAAGAATGCAGAAAGTGAACTGATACAAACATACACAAATATAGGCCAAATTCCTCTCCCTTACATTTCCTTCTCCAAGTACTCAGCAAAAGATAAGCTGTGGTGCAGAACCCTATGGCTAGCTCATTAAAGTAGTTACACGAATCTGGGCAGCAGGGAACTTGCTTCAGGAGATGGCAGTATTAAGTGGGTTGACAATTTAAATGTCAATGTCAAGAAGGCAGTGGAAATTGGCACATACCACGTGTATAATTAGCAACGACTAGAGGCTTAAAACCTTCTTTTTTGCTCCTTTCAGTCCTGTTATTTTTGCTCTTCTTTTTGTTGCTCCGACCACCTCTGACTTGTGGTGACACTGCTGTCACGAGAGTGTGAGGCGAATTAATGCAAGTCTAAATGCCTGCCTACTGATGACTCTACACTTGCTTGTTGAAAGTGTGAAGACAGTATGAGTATTAGCAAGTGATGTGTTTCTCCTAACAGGTCTGCTATATAGCCAGACTTTTGGCTTGGTCCTTATTGTGAATAATTCTGGCCAAGAAGTGCCCACAGGAAGTTTGACTGACATGTAAATATGCCAATTAGGGGTTGAGGTACAATAAGGGACATTTGTTAATGTTAGCAAACTACATGAACTAACAATGAAAAATAATTCGAAAGCATTTATTAATCTTTGTTAATTTCAGCATTTACTAATACATTATTAAAAGTTGTATCTTTTAATATTATTTAATGGACCTGAGCTAACATGAACTAACAATGAACAACTGTATTTTATAAAACTAACGTTAACAAAGATAATAATGAATACTGTTAGTTAATGCATTAACTAATGGGGAATTTTTGTAAATCGTCACCTGGTTTGTTTTTATGTATCATGTTACTCTGTTTTTTTCTTTTGTTTATTTATTTTATATGTAAACATTTCCATTTTATTTTTTCAGTTCATTCTTAATTAGGATCCATTATAGCATTAATCATGCATTTACTGATATACTGTGTGCCTGCAGTAATTTGCTCCGTTCTGCCAGTTAAAGAACATTTAGGGGACTTGAAACAGCCTCAGTCAAATATATCTGCCCATCCTTATGTTTTTATGTATCATGTTACTCTGTTTTTTTCTTTTGTTTATTTATTTTATATGTAAACATTTCCATTTTATTTTTTCAGTTCATTCTTAATTAGGATCCATTATAGCATTAATCATGCATTTACTGATATACTGTGTGCCTGCAGTAATTTGCTCCGTTGTTCTGCCAGTTAAAGAACATTTAGGGGACTTGAAACAGCCTCAGTCAAATATATCTGCCCATCCTTAAAACAACAACAACAAAAAACCTTCTCACTGTACATCACCAGTGCAGTTGTTACCTAACATAGGCGCAATGTTGTTCTTCTGAAGACCACATCAGCTGTCATACCTTTCAGGTGGATTTTATTTTCTGGGCTGTGCACTAGGACGGAGCTGACGGAATCCAGGCTGTCATAGTTACTGCATCCAAGAGGCCCCGTTCTGGTCTCCGTTACCTAGGAAACAAGGAGATATTTTAATGCCTTATTATCGTTGCAATCATGCACCTGTTTGTTCCTCTTCAGAAGCGGTAGAGTGTGGAGCATATGCCGTTGTCTAAAACAAAGCAGCACGCCTGTGCAATAAGCCAGAGTCAATATCTAATTGTCACCATTGCCCATTTCAGCATGTCAGAGCAATCCAAAAATGCTCACTTTGCAGAGCGCAGTAGAAATAGTAAATTGACTCCAGTGTTAGGTCCCAATGCATTATTAATTTCAAATCTAGAGAGCAGTGAGCCATGTGCAGTGGCGCCGTTTTGTTAACAGACCCTAGTGTTAAATATAAGGAGACTTTTACGATTCTAAAATAATGTGTGTCTGACTGGCATTTAAATTGGGACTTGGATACTGGGGTGATGTTCCAGGACTTTTTAATTTCTTTTTATTGGGTGGCTGTATTTGTAAAATTAGTGTGTCTTGACTAATCAATAATCAATTAATTAATGAGATAAAGTGCTTGTAAATTGGTGATATTCGGTAGCATCAGCAGTTAACAAATCAATGACTTCACTGACTTGATAATGTTTGATTTAGCGAATGAGTTTGACTAGGGTAATTTCAACTCGCTAATCACGTCAACACTGTCTTCAACGTGTTTGTTTCAATCAATTCGTTGAAAAGAGCCTGTTCAAAAGAACAACTCATTCACAAACCTGAGTGATCACAAAAGCAGTTGCAAATTGTCACAACAACATATTCATGGTTTCAAATGATGTGAAAAAAGTGCTTGCTGTTACCTTGTTAAATTACAATTTGATGCTCTTCACAACTTTTAGCAAAGCTTACTGAATTGTGCCACCCCCAAAAAATGAAGCATTGACGCTAATAAAAATGTTTGTGAGTGTAAGAGGATATTATATCAAGCTATTTAATACTGAAAGTAATACAAATACTTTATCTATAGAAAGTATGTGACTAGATCTCTTTTGACAATAAGAAACAAGACTAGATTCAGTTGGTAATGCATTGGTAGTGCATTCATTTTTATTAGTAGCCTAGTTTTTTTCTAATACTGCAAAAATAATTCTGTTTACAAGGTAAGTTGGCTATGAATTCCATAAATGGTCCATGTTTAAAGCCTGTAAATGCTCTGATATACCTGAAATATCTTGCAAATATTTCACCAGCACAAATAGCTTTCTTTTGTAAAAAATTGTCCCACCGCTTTTACAATCTTGATGCCACCCGTTTTGACAGCAGTTGTCACAAAATTTGTGATTTTACACATCATTGTCAGGTCTTTGTCTCAAAATGAAATGCTGTAGCTAATCCAACACTAATCCAAATGCAAAGGATTTGGGACCATGTCCTCACAACGCCATAATCATTAGTTTGGATATTTCATTTCTACGTTTTTAAATAGTTAAATAGTAACTTCTATTTATCTTTGTTGTTGTTTTCTCTCTCTCTCTCGGATTTTAAATATTCTTCTGTAGATGTTATGATGAATAATTATTTCTGTGTTTCTGATATGTTGCCAAGCTGTTTATATATGCAGCGTTAGCACACTACATTTTAGTAACTTGCCCAACACTGTCATTGATTAATGACAGCATGTTTTTTTCACATTAACTCTTTTTCTGTCACTATTTATGATCATGTGAATTTAAACATTAATATCTTTAAAGTGCCCTTATTATGCCATTTTTAAGGTTCCTAATATTGTTTTGGGAGTCTCCTACAATAGGTTTACATGCATGCAAAGTCAAAAACGTTTTCGTTTTCTCAAAATATGCATTTAATATAATTTTCCAACGATTCTCAAACGATTAATTCGAAACAGTTCTAAGATTCAGTCTCTCTAAACCCTCCTTTCCGTGAGCCTACTCTGCTCTGATTGGTCAGATACCCCAGTCTGTTGTGGTTGGTCTACCGTGCACAGCTCGTGTCGGAACGATAGCCCATTGCCATAGTTCTGTATTTTGAATGATCAATAGAAAATATAGACATCTATTATTCATTATACTTACAGGTAGTGATTCAGTGGAGCCAGCTGGCCCAAATAAAATGGGTACTGAGCCATCTTTCAAGAGCAAGCGTTTTGTGAATCCTGCATGGAACTCCCCGAGATTAGAGTAGCAGTAGTAAGTAAAATGACGGGAACACAAAAAAAGATTGGGGCTGTACTGCTGTGGTACATTGAAAAAAATAAATTTTAACCACCGATTCATTGCAGCCTCATCTATCGGAAGTGAAAATAAAAATTAATTTACTTTCACATCTTCTCGACATGATGCCAACCACACAAACAAGCTACAGTGTTTGTGGGTGGGTCAAGTTGTTCGACGTAGAACATAGGTTGGCATTATGCAAATCTGTTACCCCTTGACATGTAGCAATCACAGAAGTGGGATTCGAATTATTGCGACTCGTTTAGGCTGTTCAGAGTTGATTCTTTCTTTTGGGAGACAATAGCTTTATTTATTGTGCACTTTCGGCATCTTTGCAGATCGTTTACATTCACATACAGCTACATTAAACACTGAAATGAAAGGCAATATTCAAAATGGCATAATAGGGGCACTTTAAAAAATCTTTAGATAATGTAAACTAACATTTAAAACATGGAGATTCATCAACATTTATCATAATATGTACACATACATGCACACTTTAGCATTAATTTATGAACTACTTTCTCTTTTCTGAAGTGTCGCACACATGCCCTCCTCTGCACCCCATCCCACTGCAGCATCTCATTAGATCACTTGTCATTTACGATTGCTTACTGCAGCTCAGTTGCTCTCATCCTAATAGGACTCCAGGCTGTCTTACCAATCTTTAGATAATGTAAACTAACATTTAAAACATGGAGATTCATCAACATTTATCATAATATGTAACACATACATGCACACTTTAGCATTCATTTATGAACTACTTTCTCTTTTCTGAAGTGTCGCACACATGCCCTCCTCTGCACCCCGTCCCACTGCAGCATCTCATTAGATCACTTGTCATTTACGATTGCTTACTGCAGCTCAGTTGCTCTCATCCTAATAGGACTCCAGGCTGTCTTACGGTTTACGCATAAAACCGTAATCCGTATAAAAGCCTTCACAAAACCTGCATTCTTCATGAGGAAATCATTCCAATGATTTTTCTTAAGCATGAACAGCTCATGTTGTTGCAGTGATAGCAGTTTTCCCATACTGAGACTAACATATACATAGAGAGAGAACTCTCTATATATACAGTATTATGTATGCACAGTGTTTTACTGTATGTAGGATACACAGTATGAATGAATAAAAGTACAGCTAGCAATTCTACGCTAAACCTAACCAAATCTCTTGTCTACCCGTCACCCTGCTGTTTTTCCTCCCCTACTGTATGTTTTATCTGCAGCACTTAATATTGACATCTATTTAAGGAATGATATCGTACCTGACAAAATACTTGTCATTTACGATTGCTTACTGCAGCTCAGTTGCTCTCATCCTAATAGGACTCCAGGCTGTCTTACGGTTTACGCATAAAACCGTAATCCGTATAAAAGCCTTCACAAAACCTGCATTCTTCATGAGGAAATCATTCCAATGATTTTTCTTAAGCATGAACAGCTCATGTTGTTGCAGTGATAGCAGTTTTCCCATACTGAGACTAACATATACATAGAGAGAGAACTCTCTATATATACAGTATTATGTATGCACAGTGTTTTACTGTATGTAGGATACACAGTATGAATGAATAAACAAGTACAGCTAGCAATTCTACGCTAAACCTTACCAAATCTCTTGTCTACCCGTCACCCTGCTGTTTTTCCTCCCCTACTGTATGTTTTATCTGCAGCACTTAATATTGACATCTATTTAAGGAATGATATCATACCTGACAAAACTGGATAACACTAAAAACCCACATTTTCCACCCTGCCTCCTCAGAAAGTGTCATGTTTTGTTGTTGATCTTATATTTACTGGAGCTGTGTTTCCACGGCGTCCTCTGCATGCTTTTCTTAAGGGCATAACAAAGGAAATGAATGCCTGCGGTACAGTACTTTTCTCTCCTTTTCTGTAACATCTCACATCGTCCACAAGCCTTGAAAACTCCCACAGACCACAGAATGCAGCCCATTCTTTGTCAATTGAGATGCTAGAGGAATGCATATCAAGTTGACTCATTTGTCAAAAATGCCTCTGCCTCCGCTGTGGAAGGCACAGTTGGCTAAAGACTGCAGATGCGTTCTGAAAGCAGTTCAGGGGTTCATGACATGTGCCAGGATTTTAAGTGCAGATTCTGAGCTTCATTGATTTTGACAGCTGATGTTGATTATACGGCACAGTCAGGTCGCTTGACCAGTGCCAGCTATCTAGAGGCGGCTCTTGACATAAATGGTGCAGTGTTCTGAGCTCCCACCCTTAAATACTGGTGCTCATTTACATTCTGCGCTCAGACAGAAAAATTACATAGGATTCACTCTTACAAAAAAAGTACAGTAGAGGTCAATACCATGTTAGTTATATCACCATTATATACTGTATATGATTGTTCTGAATTATCACTATATTTGGGTACCACAGCATTTATATGGCACTCCAATGTAATCTTGTAAAATCAATCCAACAATTGGCATTAACTATGTTTTTGATTTTCATTAAAAAGAACTATCATAAGTACTGGAGTCAATTGTTTAGTAACTGTAGTAAACTGGTCACACTGTCTGTTTTTGATTCATTAAAAAGAACTGGCCTATACAGTAAGAGTCAATTGTTTGTTAATAGTAGCCTAATAATAATAATAGTAATAGTAAAAAAAAAAAACCTCATAGGAGTCATTTGTTTGGTAATTGTAGTAAACGCATAGTAAGCTCATAAGAGTCATTGGTCTAGGAATGCTGGTAAAATGATCACATTACATGTTTTTGATTCACTATAAAGAAAGCGCTCATGATAATTATTTGTTTGGCAATCATAGTAAACCACTCACGGTGTGTTTTTGATTAACTAACGAGAACTTGCTCACAAGAGTAAGTATTTGTTTGGTAATAGTGGTCACATTGCATGTTAATTCATTATAAAAACAAATGCTCATAATAGTCGATTGTATAGAAATCATAGTAGACTGATAACACTATTTATTTATTTATTTTTTCACTAAAAATAATCAGCTTAAAGTAATTTGTTTAGTAATCATACAGTAAACTGGTCACGTTGTAGGTTTTTGATCCACTAAAAGAATCCGCTTATAAGAGACATTTGTTCTGGAATCGGATTGGTTATGCTATGCCGGTGCATAACAGTCATTTGTTTTTTTTTTATTGTTTGGTTTACATTGGTCTCGACGTTTATTAAGTGCTGTAGATTTGGTGTTCACTGTTGTGGTATTGCTGAATAGTAGCCCAGGAAACACTGTCAGAGTATTTTAGTTCCTTTAGCATTGGTGGAAGAACACACATGCTAGATAGATTGACAGAACCAAGTGTGACTAATTTCTGGGCTTTTTGCATTGATTCTGTGTAATGTCATAATGTCTTTGATTTTAACTCGATACCCTTTGGATAAGCGAGACGTCCTTACATGTTCAGGGAAGTGTCACCTTTAATGACATGTACCCAGTCTTTTAACATGGTCTTTACAATTATATGCTTCTCATGTACTTGGCCATTGCTTTGGCGGTAACTGAGATCCGTGTCCTATACAGAGGTGACTGTTAATAGTATGTCATTATGACAAATGGTTATATTACAGAGAGGGGCGAGAGTCCTTCATGTCAAGTTGTAGATCTGAGCTGAACGGTAAACTTTATGAAATGGTGATATATTGAATCTCCAAAGCAGTGTAAATGATACCATTAAGCCAACAGAATCTTGTTGATCCGTGAAGACCAGCTAATCTCAAGACTGTTTGTTCTTGCAAATCCTGATCACCGCTAAACCTGCCTTGGGATCTCAGGCTATTTTTGGTCTTAAGTGGTATCTAATTACATGAAGGCAAAGTGATGTCCCACAGAAGCTTCTTCCTGGTGTGCTTCAGCTCTTTGTTTCTGAGCGGAGGGTGTAATTGATCATCCTTTATGGCAGTATTGATGAGCCCGCTATAACCCACTTCTGCTGTGGTTCCCAATTCATCAGGCTGATTTGCACACAGGGTGCAGGAAGAAAGCAGTCAAAGGTGGGCCCTATAGCCCCGCAACGTCTCATTAGCTCTCCCCTGACAAACACACCTGGCAGGACAGACTGCTCCCTAAAGTGATGCTAGAGGGCTCTCTGAAAGCACTTCAGAGGTGTACACCAAAACAATTTCATTTCATATGATTTGATGAGGTCTGTCTGTCACAAACTGCCCTTTATTGTTGCCATGGACACTTTTCTCATGCACAAGCAGGATATTTTATAACGGGTTTACAAAATGGTACATCTATGCTAATTTGAATAACATGTATTTTGTAATCCCGACCCGAAGAGCTTCACATCAAGTGTGTATTTGCTGCATATAAATGCAGATGACTCTCTATGTCCAGGGTCATATTGAAATGAAATTGTACGTTTTAAATTGAACTTCTCCACCGGTGTTGTGTAGGAAAAGCTCAAGCTAATGAAAAGCACATCGCAGCCCAAAGAACAGTCATTATCTTCCAACAGAGCCACCTTTCCAGTTCCTATGTCCAATTGCTTTCATTTCACACACTTTTTTGAGGCTGAAACTTTGTCACAGGAATGAGTGCAGTGTGTAGAAAGTTTGGCTTTGACAGTGTTTGACAGAGCTTAAAAATGGCATACTTCATTCCCCTTTCCCAAAGGTTGCGCCCCCCTCAGACTACCAAATAATTTCACTAAACATTATAAAAAAATAATGTTTTTTTAATTTGCGAGAGCTATAAGAGAGCGCGGATGTCTGCTTATGCTTTCTCTCGCCGTACTTTGATGTCATACACCGATCGATCTTCAAGTCGAACACACTTCTTTACTCTCGCGTGTCACGTGACAGTGTAATCGCAGCCTCTGCGATTGAAAAATCGAAAATTTTCATATCGTGATATTATCGCAAATGCAATTAATCGTTCAGCCCTACTTCATTTTAACTAGCCAGCATTGGTGCGACTAACAAAATACAATCACAGTATAATGCATCAGAAATATTTCATGATCAGCTTTTGCGACGTCGGTGAGTGTGCTTTGGATTGATTGATTGATGTAATTAGCTTACCATGTGAAGCAGTCTTATTAACTAGCCAGCATTGGTGCGACTAACAAAATACAATCACAGTATAATGCATCAGAAATATTTCATGATCAGCTTTTGCGACGTCGGTGAGTGTGCTTTGGATTGATTGATTGATTGATGTAATTAGCTTACCATGTGAAGCAGTCTTAAAAAAAGTATAAAAAGGTGGTACATAAATACAAAATGTATCATCATCTTTTAGCAAGTGAGAAATATGCTTTGAGAGAGTTAAAGAAAAAACTCCTACCCCAACAGAAATAGTTCTTATATAAAACTGTAATTGTATGCAAGCAGGTGCATATCTTGATTGAAAGTCAATGATATTTGTTTCAGTTCAGCAGCATAATTTTATGCAGAGCTCCCTCTGAAGGAATCATGATGTTGCAGTCACCAGCATTTCTACACCCACTCAGCAGCTGCGAGTAAGACCGAGAGCAACTTGACACATCATGGAAATGGCATCGCGACCTTAATTGCTGAAGATTTACCATGGCAACAAACATCATGTACGTACAAATCACATTGAGAAACAGTAATCAGCATGCATAGTTTATTAATGATCCCTTTGAATTAATAGCTAGATCAAACCAACAGGTTGATTGGAAAAAAAAAACGTGCCTTTACCTACATTTTGTGCAAAAAAAAAAAAATAATAATAATTTGCAGCACATAACCAGCTCCATATGTATAGCTTTTCTGATGTAGTAAACTTGCTCTGTAGCTCACCTGGTACAGCACTGCACTTGTGATGTGGAGCGCTTGGGTACAAGTCTAGTGAAACACGAGTCGCAACACTCCATAAAACAGCTCAAATACTTGAAGCAAGCTAAAATGGCATGATAAATCAGTTTTAGCTCACATTTGCTTTTGTTAACATTATCAATTAGATTTAGCGTAGGTGGTATGTTATTTTCAAGGGCGATAGAGCATTAACCTGCTAGCCCCTTTTACTTGACGTTTTATTTCCAAACTGCCGTGATACGTACAACAACAAAAATAATAAAATGTTGCCAGATTCACATTCATTTAATTTGGAGAACACTGAACGCGCTTTCAGTGCCACCAACTGAACAGTTTAGCAAGAAGAAACATCACATATCATTTAGCAGAAATGTGGCCACAAACACATTTTTTTCCAATGAGTCTAGGTTGGATCAAACAGGAAGAAGCTGTGTCATCTGTTACCTTGATGGCAGATGTAGCAATCTGCAGGTGGTGGAGTCTTCGCAGGGTGCTCTCTCTATCTGTGAAGTACGACGCCGCCAACTGGTGCAAGATTTCCAGGGAGACCACGGAGCTATTTCCATTGCCCTCTGACTTTTTGCTCAGCTTCTGTTTGTCCAAGAAGATCGTGAGTGACTCCTCTCCTTAGGAAAGAAGCAAAAACAAAACCATGAGATAAAATATGAAGTCTTCACTTTCCAAAGACAATGTTTAGCAAAATGACAGTGAGTTCTGGTTGTACTGTCAAAGTGTAGTAATATATACCTTTTGTACAGTTGTTTACCATGAACTGTGAGATGACTTTTTCAAGGATTTGTTAAATATGAATCACAGAAGTTAAGGTGGAGAAGCAATAACGATTTTGAAGGAAGGAAAAGGGCACACACGACAGGGAGTTTATCCCAAATGGAGGTGGTTATAACCATAGATTTCTTCTGAAGATCAATTTTTTTTTTTTTATAGTAAATGCTATTTTTGATCCGAGTCTAAGCCTGAAATTCAGATAAATATTCTTGTCTTGGTTGAGGAGCATCTTCTGTACGTGTGGAGCTTGAATGGTGTTGTTCGTTTCAGTCTGATTAGTATGCATGCAGTAGCACGGTTCCCCCATTTCCTTTGCTTTGAGTTGTTAATTACCAGCGTTCATTGTAGCTTTACCACTTCATTCGTCTCCCTGTCTCTGAAGTTCTGCAGTTTCACTTCATACATCCACCAATAAATGACATCATAATTAGTGTTGGTAACATGCAACATTTTGCTAGAGACACATTGAAAGGTTTGAATCCACCACTGGGACGTGCTGCCCTATTATGTGGGTGCCAGAGAGGGAGAAGAGAAAAATACTGTCTGAAAATGGCAAAGGATGTCAGACTCAGTGTATGGATAGTAAATCTATGCCTTTTTATTTTATTTTATTTCATTTATTTATTTTTTTAATTCTGGAAACTTTCTCTGAAGCCTATAATGCACAGAATTCTTAATATATTATCATGAATTTTAGTATATCTCAGTATGTTCTTATAAATTGCTGATAATTATACATAAATAGTCATGATTATACATTTAAAGAGTATAATACATTAAAACATGATTTAAGACACTATATGCAATATACTGTGTTTTAAGATTAAAGGTGCAACTTTTACATAGGCATTAATACATTAATGCATTACATTACTGTGCTCACAATTTTTTTATGAAAATATAATGAAATACAACATGTCTTATAAGACAATGAAATGCATTGTATATGGGCAGTTGATGAGATACTTTAAACAAAATTATCATCCTTTTATTATGCCTGCAGCTTTTACAAGCTCATAATAATTAAGAAAGTACATGGAATAATTGTGCCTAGAAAAAAAGTCACATCAGGACCATTTTAAATGAACCAATAAAGGCAAAAAAGATGATTAAAAATGTAAAAGACTTCAAAGAAATGACCAGATATAAAATAACACTTTCTCTTACATTCATATATATTTTAACCTGTATTAGTGATGTTGATTAAAACTACCCATATAAAAATTTTACAGAATATGTTATCAAAATCTCTTCACCTTTAGCATTGATATAATTAATTACTGGCTTACCTCCCAATGTGGCTGATACCAAGAAATGAGTGCCATATTTCTTGATCAGATTTTCATGAATCTGCTGAAGGCTCGGCCTTCTCCCCAGAAGCCTGAGGTTGCGTAAAAACTCGGGCGCCAAAGGCAGCGGGGCTTTGAAGAAGTCTCTCTTCTCTGTCACCAAGCTGTTCACTTTCCAGTGACTAAACTCCCTGCAAGACAAAACAAACACAGTTCAATGCTTTAATGCAATAGTGGATTTTAGAACCCATTACAGTGAGTTCACATTTTGTTGCTTTGCAGCCTGAAATGAAGATGGACAGTTTTTGTTTTATCCAGCTGTATTTATTCAGTGCAACTTATAACATCCAAGTGAAAGATATAACCAACATATCAGAAAAAAAAAAACAGAATCACTGAGTTGGAAAAAGTATCACACCCTTGTCAGTATTTTGTTGAACCACCTTTTGCTTTAATTACAGCCTTTAGTCTGTTGGGATATGTCTCTACTAACTTTGCACATCTAGAGTTTGCAATATTTGTCCACTCTTCTTTGCATAACTTTTCAAGTTCAGTTCAATTTTATGGTGACCGTTTGTGGACTGCAGTCTTCAAGTCATTCCACAGTTTTTTGGCAGAGGGCAGCAGATTTTCCAAGAATTTGATGATATTTTGCCCCATCCATTTTTCCAGTGCTCCAGGCCCTGCTGCAGAGAAACACCACATAACAGGATATCACCACCTCCATGCTTTACTGTAGGAAAGATGACCACTCTTTGTCAAAAATTCCTGCAACTGCTTCAGAGTTGCTGTAGGCCTCTTGGTCGCCTCTCTAACCAGTTTCCTCCTCGCTCTTTCATACAGTTTGAAGCAACGTCCTGATCCAGGGAGGGTCTGTGTTGGACCAAATACCTTCCACTTCTTAATAATAGACTTCACTGTGCTTCTAGACATTGATAAAGCCTTTGATTTTTTTTTCTGTATCCATCTTCTGAATTGTGCCAGTCTACAGCTTTATTCCAGAGATCTATTGACGGTGTCTTGCCACCCATAGTTGATTGTTTGCTTCAGTTGCACTACTAAGGACTGAAATGCTCCAGGAAAGCTCTTTTCATGCTGAGCTAATCAAAACGACCACAGCTGATCTCAGTTGAAAGTCAAATGGCTTTGTGTGCCATTGAGAAGGTGATTAGCTACACCTGATTGAGTTTTTACAAGTCATTTTAGGAGAGGGGTGATCTTTTTTCTAACTCAGCGATTGTTTTTTTTTTTTTTCTGACATGTTGGTGTTATATCTTTCACTTGGATGTTATAAGTTGCACTGAATAAATACAGCTGGATAAAACAAGTGCGTAAGGTGCAAGAGCAAAAGAAAATGCTGATAGCAAAAAATAAGGCTAAGCATGCATAAATTTCGCATGGTGCTGAATATTGATGCATCTCATCGTAATGCGGGGTGAATGCGATTTGGGTCCATAAACACAACAGAGCTTACATGATGCAACTTTTGACAGCGTTTGTAACTCTGACATCATTCCTGGACATTCATCTTTCAAAACACTCTCTGTATCTTCCGAATATGCATTGCATAAAACCAATAACAATCCCAATGTTTTCCTGAGGTTATGTTCATAGAACAAAGCTTGTGCTTCTGTAAATATGCTACCCAATGGAATCACCTTTTGGGCTTAATACGGTTCGTGAGAATTTCTAAGAGTTAATTAACGAAAGCAGTGGCTGTCCGACCATAAGCTAATGATGATAGATGATCTTAATTAAAGGGCTTTAGCACCAGCTGATAGCACCTGGAACTATGCTGGGGAGTGGGAACCTATCACCCAAAACACTCGACTTTTTAAAACTCCTTAACCAGGGGGCCACCGCACCTGGGTATCAACTTAACTTCTTGTATTCGTTGTTTCTGTCATACCTGCCAGGCAATTGTAAGCGGTAACTTTAGTCTTTTCAGCTGGTTTCTGCATTGAGTTTTAACTTGCAGGCTGCATCTGTACAGCAACAGCACACATACACACGAAAGAGAGAACTGCTGATCTGCAACACCTCGCTCTGCTGGATTGAAACTGGGTCTTCTGGCCCGTTTGTATTAGCCTGCCAATCAAGCGGAGGACGGCAGGTGTGCTCTATGAAAATAGGTCTTCACCTCTCAAACCTTTCACTCATTAAAACAGACACACACCTTTATCCGATGCATATAATGAATGTTCTGTCCTCTGCTCAATGGTGGACTGAATAGCAAAGTCATTGCTACTACTTTAGAATTCCTCGTGGATGGTGGTTAGTGCTATGCAGAGTTTGTTGAATGAAGGAGGGGAAATTTGAATAGCAATTAGAGTCTCTTTCTTTTCCCCTGTGAACCTGTGCTGGTGGTGCATTCTGCAGCCATGTTTGTGCTCAGCACAATAATAGGTGCCTCACAACACTTCCTCGCTAATTTGAAACAGTTAAACATTTCTTCCAGGAGAACTTTAAATTATTTTCTAGAACAAAATACATATTACTTGTCAAGTAGCCATTAGTGTGATGTTTTAAAGTTTTGCCTTTTTGTTGTAAATTAAACAATGATCTTAATGGGATGAAGTATTGTGTTCTGCACCGATGGCTTATTTTATTTATTTTTCCAAAGTCAAGTAGCAGATGCTCTGATTTACATTGAAATTTGCTTGAATCTTGATTACTCACTAGGAGCCACCGTGCTAAATGCTCTAATTAGATTTTTTTAGTTTTTCTAGTTGTTATTCACTGATAATTCTTCAGTGGGATCAGATGATTGATTTAAGTTTTTAAATAACTGATTAGTTAATGAATCAGCCTTTTTCTTATGAACAAGCCAGTGATATTGAATGTCAAGATTTTCAGTGAATAACAACTTAAATTGCCTGTTTCTCACACAAAGCTATCTAATGACTGCAGAAGACTGGAATATACTGTAGAGTAGTATGGATCACTTTTATTATAGTTTTATGGTGTCTTTGAAATATTGGAGATGTATAGCCCTAGTCCTCATTCACTTTCATTATATGTAAAGAGTTGCCTGGATATTAAACTATTAAAGATTCATCTTTTACTCCATGGAACAAAGAAAGTCATGTGGGTTTAGAACATTGGTGAGTCAATGACAGAATTTGTATTTCTAGGTTAATTACACTCTGAAAAGGTTCCAAAAGAGTGTTTTTGCAGCAGTGCCACAGAAGAACCATTTTTGGGTTCCTCACAGAACATTTAAATGATTTGTAATACTGTATCCCTTTAAGATGTGTGTACTTCTTTGCCTGCAGTGGCTGGACATTCAATTCCATGGACATCATGTTCACTGAAATGACCTTCACACTTTACCTCAGTATGAAATCAGATCAGAAGTGACATGAATGTGATTGGAGTGACAGACTATCAGGCTCTCAGAGCTTCTGAGAAATATGTGTTCCCTGTGCATCTGGACTTTTGTATCTATAAAATAAAATAGGAACTTCTTGTCAACTAAAGTACTGTAAGTATGATATATTACCTCCCTTCTCAACTGCAGACACCGAGACATTTACTGAACCCTTTACAGAAATGTTCAGTGTTTCACTCTTGTTCACTTTCTCCTAAATTGCATTGCAGATTTATATATTTTTCTGCTGTTGTGTTTTTTTCCCCCTTCACTGTTAAAAATGTTTTGTCAGGTAATCTAAAATATGTTTCTTGTGGTATCATCTAAATTAACCAGTTTTATTAAAATCAGAACTATTATTTAAAATGACTAAATCAATCTGGCTACACTAGATTACACACACAAGTGAAAGGTAAAAATAGGTGCTTGAGGTAACAACAGGACGTTTTCACTTTTTTCAGTGTTCTGTGGAATGTGGAACCAATTTGAGGATAATTATAATTATAGCTCACAGACTTTATGGCAATTAATATACAGTTTATTTTAGACAATTTTCTTAAAGTACAATAGGTATGCATTTATACTAGATGATGAATCATTGACATAAAACAAACCAGAAACAGGATTTACACAAGTATGTTTCAAAGCCTGTCTCATTTATTTTTGTGTTCTGAAAATAAACCTGAAACGAAAAGATGCCACGTTTTCAGCAGATGGTGATTGAATCACTCTGAACAGTTTGTTCACCTATTCAGCCAAAAGCTTAAAATGTCACAATCTGTCTGAATGTCCCATTCTGTCTTTGCTCTTTTTTATTTTTCTCTTTAAACCCTCTGTTTCATGCAAAACTTGAAAGGCTCCTGGTTAGTGAACTAAAACATTGGCACATGCTGTTTTTTTATTTTTATTTTTTGAGGGCATCATCTAGAAAATAAGCTTAGGGAACCATTCCACCAGGGGCTGCATTGTATTGTGAAAGCAGCTTTAAATATAGATTTTTAAAGAAGGATTATTTGCCATAGTTAAGCAAATAAGAAATGACAAAATCATGCTTTCAGCAAAAACCAAAACTACACAATGCAAAAACTAAATTAAACTGCTCAGCAAAAACTTTGCCCTGGCAAACATCAACATAAAGAGTGAAATTTGACTCAATCTATGGAAGATCAGGCAATGCTTATCAAATTATTCTGAAATGTCCTTTGGTCAGTGATTGAAGTGGTAAATTGCATCAAGTCAACGGAACACAAAAGCGACCCCCTCCCATCAAAATTCCACGCAAGCATCTCTGAGTTTTCCAACCATTTGGCTTATTAATTCTAAATTGTGGACCAGCGTCACTTGCATGACATAATTCATCTCTTGTGTTTCCCATGAAAACGTTAAATTACATTCTCTCTCTATTGCTTATAGCTTACACACGTCTTTGTGTTTGATTTCTTTTGCAGATACTCGTTGCCATTGGAAACCAGCTGCTACCAGGTTAACTAAATCTCTATGGAGCGGCTCCCTGCTGGTCGTCTCTGCTGTCACCTTGTGGAGCACCAAGGGTGTGATGGTCTACAGATAATAGCACGAATGGGAGCTACTACATCATCCCAAGGCTCCACATGGGTAGGGTAGTGCGTCATGGTTCTTCCATAATTATAAATATTTCTTGTTGCAGTATTCCTTACTCCGTATCTTTTGAAGGTTCATTTAATATTTTTTCCTTGTTAAAAAAGGTTTTACAGATAAATAAAAAAGTACTGAAAAATGATAAATAAATAATAAATAAAAATGATAATAAATAAAATAATACAAATAATTAATAAAAAAAAGTATATGAATAATTTATAAAAAATAATGTCACATGAACAGCCAAATATTCAGTAATCCACATACTGGACAATTACACTTGTAGAATAAATGAGGTAACATTGAACAATATAGGTTCAATTTGTTAACATTAGGTAGTGCAATATGAACTTTACATCATTCATTAATCTAAATTAATGTTAATTTCCAAAAATAATATTCCTTATTAGTCATTCATGTTCATTTATAACCCATGAACTCATGCTAATTTATACAACTTATTTAAATTTATACAAAATTAATTAGTATATGTAGAAATCAAAATGAACCTAGACTAATAAATTCTGTATTTTTCATTGTTAGTTTATGATACAGAATCAATGAACAAATGTTAACAAACATAATTTTCAAGTATTACCATCAATTAATCATGCTTAAAGAGTAATAAAGCATTTTTACGATGACATCTGTAACTGAAAACCTTTACTTTTCTGTCATGGTGTACAATGCAATCTGTGTAAGTTATCTCTTTTAAACAGAAATCTCTGTTTTGACTGTGTATTTAATTTTATTGAGCTCACAGATGCTTCCATATTGAAAAAAAAAAAAAACGTCTGAATGTAAATGTCAACTGCTGCTAAAGCCTCGGAACAAAGAAAACTAGTGCAAGCGCACATATCTCTCTATTCACAACAGAAAAATCCCCATCGGCGCTGGCAGTATGACTAAAGACCATAGAATTCATTCTGCCGGGGATCCTTTGGTGCAATGTTAACCCCCAGAGGGGAGCTGTGCCCAGGGAAGCAGTAAAAGGTACAGTGCCTGCTGGTGTTCTCCTCTTGTGATGTGCAACCCAGTTTCTCTTTCTGGAAATCCTGATCTGTTATCATATCAAAGGGCGAATGCAGTGACCAGCTGAAGTCCCGTCTTTGCAGTGTGAGGTCAGTGATGCTGTTTACACAATGTCTCTGAACTGTGAGGCACATACAGAAGAGTCGCCTACATCCAAACACCCACACAAACTCTTTGGCTTGCAGGACAGCCTTTCAAACCGCGCTGGCAGAGGCTTGTCTCCCCCTCACTGAGTCCATCACAGTTCCGTGGGCCTTTCTCTGCCCAGATGCTGTAGGCATGCTGGGTTCTGAATTCAGCGAGCGGAGAGAGTTGGACAGAGTCAGCAATGCACCAGCGGGGGACAAAAGAAGCAGGCAAAAAGGCCAAACTCCCCTGGCGGATCTGAGGTCAGCCACAGAAATGCACCAAACACACATTTCCTTCCCGTTGTGCGGGTGTCTTTGACATGGATTGGAATGAATGTGTAGCGATCGATATTTAAAATGCACTGTGCTGAATGAATGATGTGATGCCGGGTGCATGTACTGTAATTAATACAGGTCAACAGCTGAATAATCACGACCGTGTTGCTACAGATGTGTTGCACTTTTCAGAATAATGATGAGTGTTGCTGTGCATGGCGATATCAGTGCCAAGGTCACAGGTTTGACCTGCGCAAATATATAGAAAATAAGACAGCACTAGTTAGTGCAGTGTGGTGCAGGGGTTTTCAAACTGTAAAAAATAGTGAACTAAATAAATAAATAGATTACTCCAGTCTTCAATGTCACATGATCCTTCAGAAATCATTCTAATATGCTGATTCGGTGCTCAAGAAACATTTATTATTATTATCATTGCTCCACACAGTTGTGCTGCTATTTTTGTGGAAACCATTTGTTCATGATTCTTGGATGAATATAAAGGTGAAAAAGGTGAAGTGACATGTGGCCAAGTATGGTGACCCATACTAGGAATTAGTGCTCTGCATTTATCCCATCCAAAGTGCACACACACAGCAGTGAACACACACACACCCAGAGCAGTGAGCAGCCATGTTATGCTGCGGCACCCGGGGAGCAGTTGGGGGTTCGGTGCCTTGCTCAAGGGCACCTCAGTCGTGGTATTGAAGGTGGGAGAGAGCGCTGTACATTCACCCCCCCCCCCTACAATCCCTGCCAGTACGAGACTCGAACCCACAACCTTTGGGTTACGAGTCCGACTCTCTAACCATTAGGCCACGACTTCCTTTTTTTGTAACATTAAAAATGCCTTTACTGTCACTTTTGAGCAATTTAATGCATCCTCGTTGAATAAAATAACAGTAGTGTGTTTTTCTTCCAGATAATATTTTACACGTTATTTTTTATTTTTCCACAGTATTCATAAAAATAAATATGTTATTGTCTTTATATATTAGGAAGGAGATCCCTTGCATTGGCATCATCATTTATGGGTCAGTATAAATGTAAATGGGTAGTGTAAACTATGTAAACATTGCGCCATTCTGTTGTCTTGGTTGTTTTAGTAACAGCATGCAGCGTTAGAGAAGCTGAAGTCGTCGCTGTATGCGTGATGGCCCTTTTCTGTCATGTGATTGCAACTGTCCACTCACCAAATATATCAACGCCATGGGCTGCATCAGATTAAACAGACCCATGCCTCATCATAACTGAGACGTTAATATTTTTTCATTTTCTCCTGTTATGTTGTTGTCAGGACTTCTCACTGTGGTTTATTTGATCTGTCATGACTGACGAAAGGTCAGTTTTTCTGCATGAAATCTGCACCCACACTTTTGTTGTCAAAGCTCCGCTGGTTGCTGCAAAATCCACATACCTTTCATTCACAAAGTTTTTCTAGTTTTATAAAGCTTTCACCTATCACTAAGAGTAAAAATATTTTTTCCTGATTCTGTAAGTTAACATTACTATGAGCAATTTTACTGTTTTACATGATTTTCTCTCTCCACATGCAGAGAAGTAATGGAAAACAATGCATGGAAAATGGGAATCCGTGTCAGAAATTGACTGGATTCTGAGTAATATTTATTTGTTCATTTAGAATCATTTAACTAGTTTATGATTTATGCACTGCTGCAATTTACACACAAAAAAGAAAAAAGTTATTTTAAATCGTAATAATATTTCATAATATTACTTTTTACTGCATGTTTTATTAAATATTAAATTGCCAAACCAAAACTTTTGAACGGTAGTGTAAAAGACTACAGAACTGTTCTGCCGATGTTCATCACTATTGCCCTAGAATGCCAAGAAACAGTAAGTACGCCAGTAGTGAAGCTGAATAAAAAAATGGCTTCAGAATTTTGAGTTAATTTTATATAAATTTTCACACAGTTTTCTCTGAATATTTCATGGGACCCGATTTTGCTTACAAGTCAATTTTGAATATCCTGTATTTTCAACTAATAATATAATCATCACAGCACAAACCTGTAGATTTTGTAGCGTGTGGAGAAGCCTTGTTGGAAGCGTTCTTTGAACTCGGTGTATTCTGGACAACGATGGAAGGGCCCTTTATCAGACAGGAGCCAGTCCAGCTGGCCGCTGCTCCGGCCGGAGATCGAAGAGAACGGTGAGGTCTTCTGGTCCAGACGCTCAGCCAGAGCCAGAAACCAGCTCAGTGGGCCCAGAGGTGCCCAGTGCCACAGGAGCATCAAGAGGAACCATCTAACAACCGCAGCTCTCTGCCAACACAATGCCATCCTGCCCCTGGGCACCTGGCACCAGCATTCTTCTGCCAATCCTTTTAACCTGAACACACAGGAAGAGAAGATGAAGGTAAGGCTTTGATAATGAGCATTAACATAACAATTTTCTTTTTTATGTTTAATTTAGGATCCTAAAGCAAAAGTATTCTTTTAAAAAGAGACCACAGTGAAGTATTGCAAACACAGCTGTCTGGCATACTCAGTTCTGATTAGTCAATCATGGCTTTCAGCGGTCATATGTTTCCTAAAGAAGATTTCAGTACAGTGTTATTTTAGTATCACTGGTTTTTATTAATATGTTAAATCAGTTTTATTTTTATATTGTCTGTTTTATATATATATATATATATCAATAACATCATTATACATCAGTTAATGTTCATTTTATGTCAAGTAAAGTTTTAATTAGTAAAGTTTTAATTTAATTTAGTTTTACATAACTATAATAACCTTGGGATAGTATTACTGTAATATTGTTTACATTTTGTCTTCTTTAAAAAGAAGTTAAAAAAATGTATCGAAGAATTTTCACTCGTTGCTAGTAAATTTCCTAGTAAATTTCGCAAATAATTACAAAGAATTTGCAAGTAACACATTAAATGTAACATGAAATTTTGAAGTAGGCAGGCTGAACTTGTATTTTCTTGTAAAACACTATAATAATTTCAAAAGAAAATACTATAATAATCCAATAATCATTGTTTCAAGAAAATCCTTTTTTTTTTTTTACAGTGTAGTGGTCTTTTTTTTTTGTTAGCTCAAATCAGTCTTTAATGCTTTGTGTCAGACTTCTGATCAACCTTCTAGTGATTGTTTTGTGATAATAATAAATCTGACTGGAACATAAAACAGGTATCGAAACAGGCAATAACCATATAAAACATATCTAGGACCTCATGGTATGTACAGTAATAAGTTCCATTTACCCAGCATAACCTTCTTCATCAGGTAACCCAGAGATGATTCCCCATGTTTTTCCCCCTATTGCTTCCTAAAAGAACATCGTATATCCTCACTCAGTCGTGTAGTTTTAATATTCAAAATGTAATTATCCCCATTCCTCCAGCAAAATATTTCATCTACTCTTCACTTTTTTCCCCCTCTCATCTCCTTTGTTTTATACTCTGCAATCATCTCATGGCCTCATCTTGATATATGTAATTCAGTGCTATTGCATCTCTTTTTTGTCTGTTTTATATCTTTCATCATTTTTATTTCTTTGTTCTTTCTAACGATTTATCCCATTGTCTTTTTTTAAATTTCATCTTCTTAGTCCTGTAATAATGTGTCCAACTCTTGCTGTTTCTGTAAGGTAAAATACAAGTATTATTATTAGTAGTAGTAGTACTAATATTACTACTAAATATTAGGGTTGACAGTCAATAAAAAAAAATTATAAATTGGTTATGCTATGAACACCTTGATTATTCAAATGCCAGGAGATTCCCTTATTTCTGAATTTACTTTTATTTTGCTATTATTTTTCATAATTGATTACATTAAACATTGCTAAACATTTAAATGTACAATGTATTAGAAGCGCAACAGAATAAAATTGAACTAATAATACGCCCACATTTGACTGTAAATAGGTGTTAAAAATGGCAAATGCTAAACCAAGTAGGCAAATATAAGAGACAAAACATAATAAATGAAATTAACAGTACACGCAAATAAGAGCAGTACATGATGAACGGCATTTGTACACAGAACACATTCATCATGCCATGCATTTTTACTCAGATCTAGTTTTAACGGCTTCCTGAGAAAGGTAAACGCCATGCTATTTGTCAAATTTAGAATAACAGCTTCATGTAAAATTTGTTCAGGCCTTTGTCATTCATAGAACGCTTTGCTCATTTTTGACCGCGACTTCCATAACATGTTTTGTGATTGATAAATAGGCTCTTTGCACAAATTGTGATTTCAGCCATTGTATGTCAAATTTGGTTTGTTCGATAAAGTCTGTTTACTAAATTGGAGTTGAGGTCATCTATCTATCTATCCATCAGTCACATGCTGTCGTTGCCACAGTTGACACTGACCAACTTTCAGCTAGTCGCATTACACACACCAATTGCTTGCTGTTTGCCACATTTAAGTAGCAACAGCAGATGGACGCAGATATGGTCAACCTTTTATTCTCAAATACCTTGACTGGCTTCACATTTGAAATTTGCCTTTCAAATAAACCCAGGGTCTGAGTAGTGACACCCCAGACAGCTATAGCAATGCACGGTCTTATTGCGCTCCATTCCCTCTGGAGCCTCTACCTAATTATAAAATGCATAAAACATTGAAATGCCAGGGAGACAATGGAAGAAATACTGAATTTAGCCCTGACATTTTCATGCGCGCCTTGCATAATTTTAGGTGTCTTTATATTTACCCTTTCCGCTCGGGGAAGAAGGCAGGCGCTAGCTGCAAGTATCTAGAATTTAGCATAAGGTAATAGGGACAACGAGAACACATCTCATGTCCACAACCCTTGCATACAAGAGTGATCTGCAGAGCACACTTGTTCGGAAATCGGCTATGCAGGGCCTGAGGTTCACCTGAAGGCTTTAGATCTAATTGATCAAATAATGATTATGTAGTGGTTTTAGGAACTGGCTTGAGGGCATGCTGATACCGCAGCCTTTTGTGATTATGAGGGATAAACATCTATCTATCTATCTGTCTGTCTGTCTGTCTATCTATGTCCGTCCAATGCTTGATCAGTGTTAGGTGAATCTGAAACCAGCTTAATTGCACAGTGACGATTAGCCAACTTTAATGCTGTCTTTATAGGTCTTTTTTTCCTTCTGTTTGGCAGGTGGAGATTCCAGCTGTATATATGAGTACCAGTGTTAATTTTGACAGCAAATTTTTATTTAGTTTTAGTCATAGTCTTTTGACTAAAATGCCATTTAGCTTTAGACATATTTTAGTCATCTGAATTGTTTTTAGTTTTAGTCTAGTTTTAGTAGACTAAATATCATTAGATTTTAGTCGACTAAATCTACAATAAATTTAGTCGGCTAAAATCTAACGGGTTTAGTTACAGTGCATTTATTAAGCATTTCTCTAAAATTTCCAAACTCATTATATAGGTTTGATATTAATGTTTTATCATGATAGACACCGATTTAACTGTGGTGACACACATCATGTTAAAATGAAATAAAACCACTTCTCATAAAGAACAAGATCATGGTCTTCTTTTAATGAAATACCTTTTAATGAAATACCAATGGTTATATAGGCTAATTATGCATTCTTTATAGCAACTTGTTTACCATATTCTTCATTCTTTCAAGCAGACATATTTATTTCTATAAATAAATTTAGATTAATCTTTAGGGCTACTTTCAGGGGATGCAATGTACTAATACACGTTCTCCCTACTGTTTACGTTCACTTAAGACGTAATCAACTGTGTTTACGTGAATACTCGTCAAAACGGACAATTCGACATCATTTTGTGTGTAATTCTCCGTTCATGCGACCTGAAAGAGTACTCGCGCGCTGTGAGACGTGCTTCCTGTGTGTGTATGCTTCAGTGTCTGCGCTCCGAAAACCGGAGTGAAATTAGTTCTCTCTTGCGTCGTCAGATTTATCCATATCTCTGCTCTTCTCTTACTCCTACATATTGACATTTTTAAAAAATGTTGAGACATGCAGCAAGTGTATGTTAGCTTTTGTCCCGCCGGTTCACATGTACGCATCTAACCTCCGAATCATGCAGCAGATTCGTTCTGAATTAATCTCTTCCCAAATCGTCCCTCCCTAACATTTTCGTCTCGTTTTTATTTGTTGATGAAAATGTCAATAAATATTCATCATAGTTTTTGTCATTCAAAAATGTTCGTTATCGTTTCGTTGTCGTCAGTGAAAAAAATGTTGTTGACGAGAATTATGACGAAAATAATTTGTCAACTAAATTATCGGCATAGTGTTCCACATGAAACAACACAACAAATCTCCAGGAAATTTGGGATAGCTGTTCTTGAATATCAAGATAATTGCTCTCAAAATTGCTCTGAATTTTTCAACGTTCTTAACAATGTTTATAAAAGAGCCTATGACTCATGCTGTGCACCTGCTAGTATTTTGGTGACCTGCTATGCTTGTTCATCACACTTCATTATTTTCGTAGAATAACGCACCTGTAGCTTCTGTGGTTTTAATGTATTGTACTTTATGAAGCATCTCGGAGGCTCCGCTGAGGCTTTTTTGTATATGACAGTTATATGTAGGAAAATAACTTGTGTGTAAAATGAGTTTAAAGTAGATTATTTATTTGCCACTTTCATCCAAAGTGGTAGACAAACAGGCACATTCTTTGAAACAACCTGATTAAGTCCCTTGTTTAAAGGGATAGTCATTATTTACTCACCCTCATGTTGTCCCAAAACTGTATGACTTCCTTTCTTCTGTGATTATCAGCATTCTTCAGAATATCTTCTTTTGTGTTCCACAGAAAAAAGAAAGTCCTACAGGTTTGGAATGACACGACGGTGAGAGTTAAAGTGTTGGCTTGACAAAGCCTCATTTGAAAATTAGATTCATGGGTCTTACAGACAGAGAGAATGATAGGATAGAATGATATAGATAGGTGTTAATTGGTAGAACACTAATTTCCCAGGATTGCAATTCAGTAAATTCCTTGTCATTCCGATTCATATGTCAATACTACAGTACTTCTTGTGAGGTGTAGCCATTTCAATTTCTCATGACTAAAACAAAACAAAACTCATAAACACAATGGACACTAGACTACAGCACAACAAACTTGCATCACATAATTCCTAACCAAATTCTAAAGAATAGTGTGCATTTCTTCCAAAGCATCTAAGTTCTATCATTCACGCTCTTTCTGTATGTGTGTGACCATGGAACAAGATTCTTGTTGAGAACCACTCACATTCACTTAGATCCCACAGGTGCAGAATCACCCTCTGAGCCATCAAAGGCAGTTATCCAAAAGTGGCGGTTCTCGAAAAGCCAATAGAGGCCTAATATGGCAGAAATTCGGCTGCTGGTCTACTCTTTACATATAAC